CCTGGGCGATACAGCCCCGGGACCGGATGATATCCACAACAAGATCATTAGACACTTACCCTCAGAAACTCTTACACTCCTACTAAACATATGCAACGACATGTGGCGGTCACACTCCTTTCCGGAGTTTTGGCGTCTACTACTACTAGACGAGGAAAAGAGAAGGAGAGAGAAAAATGGAGAGAGAAAGAAAGAACAAGAGTGATTTATATACAACTCACCATATCTGTGCCAAAGAATCTAGATCTAAAAACATAGTATGCATTGTTTTCTAGATTTTGACTGGGAGACGAGCACTGAATTAGATCTAGATCTAGATAAATCTAAACCAAAGAAGCTATCTCCAGATGCGAGGAAGACTAGATCTAAAACCTACATTTGTAATAGATCTAGGCCCTATCTATATCTAGAATCTATATCTAGATCTACTTAAAACACAAGTTACGGCACTCCTGTATAATTGTGGACCCGTTTGTTTGCTTGACGGCCATTGTGGAAATGAATCTAGATTCTAGATAGCCTAGACAATTTATCGCTAGGTGTAATCTAGATCTAGATATCTAAAGTCTAGATCTAGATCTAGGTTAGGCTAGATATGATTTTAATTCAGTTTAGACCTAAATAAGAACCGTACTAAATGGGCACTAAGTGTAATGGGGACCGCAATCGGGAGTGCTCAAGTTACAACACACGCTTTCAGTCATGGTGAATACAAAGGTGTGTGTGTTTTGAAACAAATTTTAACTGAATAATGCGCTATTTAAGCTTTATCTACTTATCCACAAATTGACTTACCTTCCAGGGTCTTTAGCGAACAAAAAAAAGCAAAAAAAAAGCTAATTCAGGTCGTCTGGTTTTTTTTAAATAAGTGCAGTTTATTGCAGCACACCATTTACAGTGTGTTCTTAGGATCAGCCATGTTTGTTTAAGTTTACCGGCGCAGTTCCTGTTGCCACTGGATTGGTCAGATTTGGGGACTGGCCCTAGCTGTTCTGTCTCATTTACATCACTAGGTCTCTGGGAGCACTGCCCTGGTTTAGTGGGGGGGGGGGGTGTTTAACCTCGGAGATCCCGCGTCTTAACTAAACTAATAGAGTTGATAATGAGGTTAAACCTGTACCATTTCCCCATTTTCAAATCACTCGCTTCACAATCCCTTTCACTTTCACATCACTCATTCCCCTTTGACTTCCTTTGTTGGAAGGAACCCCTCTCTTCTTTTCCCTCTGTCAGTCCTTCTTGCGTTATTCCTTTTTTTTTTTACTATTAAAAAAGAAATTTCAGTTGGTAACAAATTTTGAATATTGCCCGGGTGGCGTCAGAAGGCTACTCTTATCGATTTTATACCTCCAGGGGATCTTTAACGTGCACAACTTGCACACGGCCCTCGGAGATTTTTCGCTCTTTTCCGAGAAGGCTAGGTGTAGATCTTTCCTACCAGAAGATCAGTGGTGTGGCTGAAAGACAACAGTAAGAAGGAGCCAAGGAGAAGCAGTAGAAAGGCTACAGAAAAAGCGAGGAGCCCAGATGAGGGGGCAAAGGAGGTGATGCGGTGGAGGCACAAAATGGAGATGAAAGCAATCGACAGAGCATTGCTAGGGAGCAGGAAAGGAGGTGAAAATAGACACTTTTAGGGAAGAAATGTTTTCCTTCGTTCCACGGATTCGAACCGGGACCTTTGAATGAGAGGCGAAGACCTTAACCTCTTGGCCACAAGAGCCCCTGTTATTACTCTGCTCTCTAAGGCCGTTATTGTGTCGACGTGCATAACATATCTTTACTCAAACAAAATAAACACACGTTGTGGAATTTGTATGTGAGCGGGTGGTTGGCGGATGCTCTGCTGTGGTTTGTTCCTTCTTCCCTATCAAACAACCATCTTCCTTTTCTCTCCTCCCTCTTTCTCGTATTTCTTACTCTTCTGTGACACCTCCAATCTTCGACACTTATACCACCTAATCGTGTTGCAAGTGCCGTAAAACGCTTATTGAAATATTCGTATGTGGTTTTTAATTTCCGTCTCCTTAGACTTGAATGAGGAGAAGCAGGTATACATATGCCAGGGGACCAACTCACTCGTGGATGTTTTACCCCAATTCACAAAGACTGAAGACCAGCTGATTGTGCCAGTTTCAAGTGAGTTGTGTTTCCTTTTTGTTTTTGTTTTGGGGGGGGTTTTTGGTTTATTTCGGATATTATTGTTGTTACTTTGCTGCCGTTGTTGTTATTGTCGTTGTTGTTATCCTTGTTGTTGTTGTTATTATTGTCGTTGTTGTTGTTGTTGTTGCTGTAGTTATTGCTGTTGTGAATGTAACGGTCGTTTTTTGGTCGTTGTTACTATTTTTGTTACTTTGTCGCCTTCGTTTTTATTATAATTGTTGTTGCTATTGTCGCTATTGTTATTGGTGGTGTTGATGTTATTGTCGTTGTTGTTATAATTGTTGTTATTGTTTTTGTCGTTGTTGTTATTATTGTTACTATTGTTTTTATTGTTGTTGCTATTGTCGCTATTGTTATTGGTGGTGTTGATGTTATTGTCGTTGTTGTTATTATTGTTGTTGTTGTTATGGTCGTTGTTGTTATAGCTGCTATTGTTGTTGTTGTGATTGTTACACTCATGTTTTGGTTATTTTTATAATTGTTTTTGTTTTTGTTGCTGAGTGATGGTGGCCGCTGTGATGGTACAGGCAGTACTTCTTGATTTGATGGTGGTGATGTTGGTAGTGGCGGTTTAAAAAGTGGGGAAACGGCGACACGGAAATGTCTGTTCTATGCTTTCATGTCGGTCGTTCCGCTCACTGTGTTAATTAAACATGATCTATTTACTTTTCTGTATGTTTAGTAGTAACAACCAACAAACTATTGTTATGTCGGTCGTTACAATTTCATTGTTAGATATTATTCTTTTTATTTTATTTTAAATTTGGGTGGGTTTTTTTGGAATTTCTACTTTTTTTTATCTGAGTCTGAAACTTTACAAACAACATTGTATTGGCTAGACTCTAACTACAGTTTTCTGTTGGACGTTAAAACTAGTCGTGTGCAAAAATAGTTAGGATAATCTATATTATATTTGTGAAATTTTGTCACTTTGGTAGCCTAAAACTTCCGAACCCCATAACTTTAAAATTTGAAAAAAAAAATTAACGGTGATTCAGAATCATTTAACGGGTACAAAGTTATAGTAAGAAGTCTGAGTTCAGTGTAGTTGGTTAGTATCGTTTAGATAAAATCTTGGGAAAGTCTGTCTTCTAAGACGCCATTGTGAACAAGTGAAACTTCGGTTCACAAAAAGCGTGTGCACTGATCTCACAATGACCTGACGATCGATTCTTTTGAGTCCGTTCATCGAACGGGTACACAGCTAGTAATAATATAATAAAAGAACAAATCCGAATGCCTTCTGTTCTCAGCTCCACCTGAGCTCAGACTTGGCACCTCTGACTGCCCGGACGTGCTGTACCTGGGCCAGGTGGGCGAGTGCACGTGCAGACTGAAGAATGTTGGTGCCCCTCACGCCAGGGCCGTCTGGAAAGCTTTGGACAAGGATAACCCGGTGCGCCAACGTCGCCAGGAGGGCGGGGGGAGTGTCCTGGTGTTTTCTGTGCAGGAAGGTTAGTGTTTGTGGGATGTGTGTGTGTGTGTTTGTGTGTTGGGGGGTGTATTTGTGTGTGTGTGTGTGTGTGT